GCTTGTAACAAAGGTTCTATTAAGTGAAACACAACTGTTTTTTTAAAGAAAGATTTGTTTCTATCGTCTGTGTGATGTGACTAAAGAATTTACCTCCACTAAAAGGTGCCATGGCAGTATTTGGAGATCTGCTGCTCCCAGCTGCTGCACCATCTCTGGCACATGGGGAATTGGGTACAGTTGGACAGCTCTAAGCTGAGATTTATTTCTCGGGGACTATCCTGCTTCAGCCATCAGCTAGAAGGGGATGAGCCAAACCCTTTCTCCTACTTCCTCTTTGAACCCCCTACCCCTTCCTTTTATACTCCACAGCCAGAGTAGCCATGTGAAAGGCAGGGGGACCTGTTACTTGCATTCTGCAATGTTCTTTGTTTGTCACAGCCTATTTCATGGTGCATATTTTTTTGAAAAGTAGTTACTGTGTTTGTATCTACCAGACCTCATATTCCAAGATAAGGAGAGATGTACTTTGCAGATTGGCAGGTAGGATTGAGACATTTTACTGATCATATTTTAAAAATCTAAATTAGCAGTACACTATCAAAGATCTAACAGCATAAAATATCTCAGCTGTTCAGGCATGGTCTGAAAAGGAGAAGAAATTTAGTGAACAACTTTTGACGTGTTTTAGTCATAAGCCAAAATATTACAAACTGCTTCTGATTTTAGAGTAGCAGCCGTGTTAGTCTGTATTCGCAAAAACAAAAGGAGGACTTGTGGCACCTTAGAGACTAACTTCTGATTTGACTTTTTGAACAGTTTCGATTTGTAATGGATGGGCTATAGCAGTATTTCTCAAACCTGGGTCAAAAATCCCAGTGGGGTCACAAAAGGCAATCACGGGGGTTGTGAAGTGTTGAAAATTGTATAATAATCTAAAGCAAAGATAATCTTGCTGCCTGGCTCCCCACATATCCTCACCCTTCAAGGCCAAGTACCCTGTGTCACCCTCTTGAAACACACAAATAGATTTTATAGGCATATCACTTTCATCATGGATACATTTACTTTAAGAGTAAAAATGTAAGGAGTGAGTGAAAAATGTTGACTTTGAGTAAGAGATTGCCAACCTGAAAAGGTTGCAAAACACTAGGATAGAGCAACTGCAGCTGACTAAAGAGGAACATTACTTGATGCTTGTACCAAGGAAACTATTGATCAAGTACATTTGTCTCCATTCAATTCATCCTCAAGTTTCATCAGAAGAAACCCTTAATGTAAATAAATGTCATGAAAGATGGTTAACCAAAATAGGGTTCTGTAGTTTAATGGTATGATTTTACATCATTCATTTCCTAACACAAAGGAAATTCCAGTATAACTTCCTTCTCTAAATGAAACTAAAGGAAAACACAGGCATTGGGCTAGAAAGCATTGTTTCAAATCCAGTGAAATCAGTGGCTTTCACACACTGGGAGGAGCAGAGGAAAGTGATGTATTCCAGACACAATATAAACAGATCTGCTTCCCTCAGTAATGCAGAAGAATGGGTGCTGCAACTAAGCCAGCTGTAAACAATTCAAAGGGAGGAGATAAGGAGAGGGTAAAAAGCTGTTTAAAAGCATATTTGATCTCCAAATTCTAACAAAGTTTATCTGTTTATTTCAGGCCTTGTCTACACCAAGGATTTTCCAAGCTTCAGCCATCGCTGCCTATCTACTGTAGCTGCACAAGTCTAAACCTTTAGCAAAGACAGGCAAAGTCAGTACAAGCCACGGTTTGCACTGACCCAACATACCCCCCACTTGATACTGAGGGATATTGCCTACACTCGGGGTTTTCATCTGCTGGTGGCTGGCCACAATGGCTGTCATCATCATCATGATATTCCTATTATGCCTCTGGTGTTTAGGCAGTGACAAAGCTTCTCCACTCCTGGCTGTTTCTGGCAAGTCTTTCAATGGTTCCCCATCAGGTTTTTCAGCTCGGCTTCCACAGCTCTTTGCCATGTTGTTTTCGGGTGGCCTCATTTTCGCTTGCCTTCCGGTGTCCATCTTATTGCCACTCTGGTGATGGAATCAGTTTCCATCCGAAGCATATGACTGATCCATCTCCAATGCCTCCTGGCAATGATGGTGCTCAGATCCTCTTGGCTGCACTGTGTCAATAGATCTTAAAGTGAGATTGTTCTGGGCCAAAAGATACGAAGGATTTTTCTGAGGCAGGTTGTATGGAATGAAGACAGTTTGGACATGTCATACTTTGTCATTTCCCAGCATTCTGCACTACAAAATAGTGTGGAATGGTGTTGTCCATCATCCTGTCCAGAAAACAGAAAAGTTTCTCCTGAGGCTGTTGTTAATCTTCCTGATCTCGTCCATCTGCTCTCGCTGACACCCAGGATGTATAAGCTGTAGCGTCTCATCTCGGCTATGACCTGAGCTAACTTCCCTGTTTTGTACATTGTCCGTATATTCCAGAAACCAAGTCTGGTTTTCGTCTTGGTGTTGAGCACTTCAGTCTTCATGCCAGTTGCTTCCTTTCGGCTTTCACCACTGGCAGTCATACGGGTCATTGACTCCTGAAGGCCATCACACACAGTAATGGTCAATTTCTCTGTCGCTGTTTCTGTAATGTATTTTGTTTTTTACGGGACAGGGTTGTTAGCCCTGTGCCTAACCCCCAACCTGGAGGACCAGGGTGTCTGTTTTTTCTGGCCCCTCCCCCACAGACCAATGCAGCATGGTTGAACCTATCAGGAGCAAAAATCCCCTGCCAGCACAGACTCTGGGGATCGTTAGAGCATTCAAGCTGTCCCATCACGACAAGGCACAGACAACAGAGGACAATGGCTGTAACTAAGACAAATTCCACTGTTGAGAAGGGGCTTGATTCACCTCGCCCATGTTGGTGTTAATCAGAAGTCAGTCCATTGAAGGCAATGGTGATGCTCTGATGTACAATCAGTGTAAGGTCAGAATCAGGTTCCAGGCCTCTGATACAACCTTAAAACTTTATCTAATAGTTTACCTTGTCTTGTATGGGCATAACAACTGGAGAGAAGGTTTCTTCACAGCGGGGTGCAATTCATCCCTTCACTGTGGAGGGCATCAGCATAAGGCTTAATGCACCACATAAGCTTTCAGGACCAATGCCTTACTGGTGTATGGATTTTGTGCCGGTTCTCTTCAGAGAGTTGAATTTCATCCATGCTGGTTTAATCATATGCTTCATGATGAGGGAGAGGATTAAAAAAAAATTGAAAAAGGAATCACCTGATGTAAAAATAACTTGAGTGCTTTTATTAGACCAGGCTGCAGCCAGTACTCTCCCTTCATGGTCAAGTGCAGAGTCACTGCTGCCTAAAGTGTTCCAGCCGGTGCACTCAAGAGACATTTGCTGCCATAAATGCATGGTCAGGGTCCCAAGGGAATGGGACAGAGGATTTTTGCCTTGTACCCATGAATACATTGTATTCCTTGTTTGGAAATGTTGTAGGGGGAGAGACAGTTGGGCACGCAATCCTACTGATTTTCAGAGGGAAATGGGCACCAAGTTGTCCTTTTTATCTTTGAAAATCTTCCATCTTAAGGAACAAGAAAATCATGGCAAGACAATTCAATACTGAATATTAAAGATGGCGGGGGGGGATTGTTGGTGAGGAGCCTTCCTGAGGTAATTTACTTTCAAAAGAAAAAAAGCACCAGGTAGTCTATAAATACAATTATGGTGGCAATTTAGCCCAACTGATGCTATAACTTACTGTGACGTGTATTTTTCATGATTATGGTGCATGTTTTGGTGTGGGTGTTAATGAGGGGTTATTTTCTATGGAGTTAGATCAAGGGGGGTTATGAAACCAAGCAGGAAAGATGAAACAACAGCCTAGATAAGGAGCTTCCTCACAAACATAATGCCCTGATTTATAGCGATGAAAATGTGACTTCTCAGCCCCAGCCCTGGTGACATAACTGTCTCCGAAGAGAGAAGCCAAAGGGAACGCTAAGCCATTAGAGGATGCTGGGGTCTAGAAAAGGCTGGGGATTGAGTGAGTGCCAGGGGGTGCCCCAGGATAGCAGCAGAAGCCGACAGTCTGGCAAGGCAACATACAGACAGGGAAAGGCTGATGTGATCAGGACAGCCTCTTTCTCCCAGCCAGAGATGGGGGGTTAGCTGGTCTGAGGGGCACTAACAAAAGCTGGCCAGGAAAGATGCAGATGTACCAGGCCCAGGCGTATAGTGCTTTTATTAGTTTTACCCTTTGCTCTACATGTTTTGTACCTTTGGCGGAAGGAGTAAGTAGTGCTTTGGTCTGAAGGCACTGTCTGAGTCATTTTAATCAACTCTCTGGTCACAGGTCCCCATAACGAAAGGGCTGACAGTTGTATTAAATGCAGTTGGGCCTGTTGTATTAATATAGTCGGGGAAACAGTGGGGCTGTAGCCCAGACTGCAGATTTCCACCCAGGGTGAAGTGCAGGAAGCCAGGCCTGTCACGCAAGAGAGACTAAAAGGGATCTAAGATGCAGTTTGCCCTGTAATTAGCATAGAATCTCAGGGTTGGAAGGGACCTCAGGAGGTCATCTAGTCCAACCCCCTGCTCAAAGCAGGACCAATCCCCAATTTTTGCAGCAAATCCCTAAATGGCCCCCTCAAGGATTGAACTCACAACCTTGGGCTTAGCAGGTCAATGCTCAAACCTCTCCCACCAGCCAAGAGCCCCTCTCCCCCCCACAAGCCAGACTCCAGCCCCCACTTCATTACCCCCTCTCCCACCAGCCAAGAGCCCCTCTCCCCCCCACAAGCCAGACTCCAGCCCCCACTTCATTACCCCCTCTCCCCCTACAAGCCAGACTCCAGCCCCCCCTTCATTACCCCCTCCCCACCAGCCAAGAGCCCCTCTCCCCCCAGCCAGAATCCAGCCCACCCCCTACCTCCTGAGGGGAGGGACAAACTAGGACAGCGGGTAGAGGGAATTATTCTAACCCCTCTCACAACCCCCTTCCCCACAATTGTGACACATTCCATGGTTAAATTAATGCCTCGGTGGACAAACAGAAGGCCTGACCTAAAATGTGTTTATTTAAACTACTGTACAATGGAAATCACATTCATTTTAAAGGCCAGTTCAGAGATAAGCAACACAAAGCTTGTACACAGGGATCTTCTTTGGAGTTTTCAGTGCTGAAGTTCTTTACCTCCTAATACAGTTTTGATGCACAACTGTGGTTATTTACTGAGTGCCGATAGTGTGCTTGGCAGAGTACAAACATGGAGGAAGACACGGTCCCTGCTCCAAGGAGCTTACAATCTAAAATTAGACATAGACAGTACTGTTAGAACATATAAAGCTAAGTCTGAGATATTGTCAGACAGAATTAAGGTGACCCACTTTAACAAAAGACCAGAATACCAATATATATATAATATAGGGCAGAGTGGTGTCTTGTGTTTTGGGGATATACAGATGTCTATACATGTGTTGGTGCAAAACGCAATGGTGGGTTGTTTGGGGGGAAGAGATGGTTTTATTTTCTCTGGTGCTGCACGGACTTGTGCTTCCTGAAGAGGAAAAAAGTAAATAAATAAATAAAATTAGCACTGTCATAGAATTTCACATACAAAGCACTGTACAACATTAGGGCACATTAATCCCCAAGCAGTGAAGGAACCCAATGCTGGGATGAGGTATAGTAAAAGAAGGGAGGGCTGGCCCCTCATCCCTCACAAAGCCATGCTGAGACACTGGGTCTCCACCCTGGCATCCATGAATCTGCTGAGTTCTGTGGGTGGAAGCCCAGATACTGAAGTCACTGGGAATTCCATTAACTTCAAGGGGCTTTGGATCAGCTTCTGCCTATACTGCAAAGAAGGAGAGAACCTGTCCCACCAGCGACAATCTGCAAGAAACACTGAGTTTCCCATTCCCTAAACAAGTGTTTTCCCAGTTGGGAGCTGAGCTGGCCCTTAATAACCATTTCTTTTTTAAGAAGAAGGAAAAACAAAGAAAACCTGGGGAATTAAATACAAAAACATACTTTGATGTAACACTAAATTTACAATATTAAACACTCAGACATCTGGTCATGGAAGCATTCAGAGGCCCTTTCTCCTCTCACCTAGCAGGTGCTAAGTCAGGAGTAACCCTTCGAAGTCAATGGAGTTGCAGTGATGAAGAATGGAGAGAACTCATCCACATCAGACATATTGAGTATGATGATTTATTAGTTTGTACTGCTGTGTCTATATCTTAATACAGAATGGGCTCAGTCCTGGAGTTGCATATGCATTCAGAAATGCATGTACAACTCCAGTAGGAGATGCATGACTATTTCTGAGGGAAAAACTGAGCTCCATATCTGCAAGGTGGGTTTTTTCAGAGAATCTTAACCTTTACATTTCCAGACTTCAGGGTTTAAAATGGGAACTTATTCAATATTTATTTATTAATAATTAATTATTATTATTATCATGGACAATTTTATTTTTTATATAAAAAAGTGCTTTGAATAGAACTGATTATCATTTTTACAAACCATGTAAACATTCCAGTTGTGCAGGAAGGAACAAAAGTTCAATGTACTGGTGAATAGCACCCTAGTATGCAGCTACCGTAAAATAACTCTTTAGTTATAGTAGGTGACACAAGTCTATCAGATCACTATGATTTTGATCCATTGGCAAAATATTAATGTGGGCAAAAAAAAATCTGGGAAGAATCAAATCAATCAAAAAAAAAATTCTCCAGAGTACAGTATACAGAATTAGGTATTTAAAAAAAAAAAAAAAAGATGTATGACTCTAGGGACTTGCTATAAAAGTACACTTCAAATACATCCACTTGGCCAAAAAAGAGGGTGCGAGTCTCTCTGTCTTCTGCTTATTACTAGCCAAATCAGAGAAGTGATAATGGCAGTCCTCGGTGGAACTGAACATCTTGGCTTCCTAGTTAGAAGACTGGCCTCCTCTGATGACATCTATACATGGTTGAGGCCATAACGAGTGGTGAAAAGGATAAGTGTTGGTACCTGAAATACTGAGTATGGAAACCCCCAACACCCTTTCTATATTTTCTTTAGGGATAACGAGAGGGGTTATGTGTAAGGGCTGATGCTTGTATTCCTATCTTCCTCCGATTGCAAAAATAAATATAAAAAACAGCCAGCTGCTGAAGTTAAAGGGGCACTGTCCCCTTAAAATCTAGTCAAAAAGTAGTTAAAAAGTAGTTTCACACACTACACTTGCCTTTGAGGCTTACTGGTGTTCTTTTGATTTTACAAGTCACTCTTCCTGTTTAAATATATATATTTGTCTGACTTTTGGTAGTCTAAAAGACTCACAAACAACAGGGAAAACTGACTGACTATACAGGGGTGGGAATAGTAATTAACTGTACACAAAGTGCTGTCAGGGAGAATCCGGATTTTGAAGTATATGATGCTTCCTTACGCTTGTTTAAAAACTAGAGCAAGCTGACTTCATAATTACCTGAAAAACTTTTTGAAGAAAAAAATGCCATAACAAAGTACTAAGATTCTTCCTCTTCCTCCTGTTCTTCTTCTTCTTCCTCCTCCTCCTTTGTAGAATGGGGGTTCAAAAGTGATCACAGGAAAGTTGAAAGAAAAATGAGCAGTCTTGAAATACAGGTCCCTAAATTTGCAACTGTATCTAGATTATGTATCTAGCAGATGTCACATTCATTAGTGTATAAAACAAAATTAGCACAGATACATTTCATGATGGTTTTTTTTAAAAAAACATACACACAGTGCACTAGCCTTATGGTATTAACAGGCAAGCTTTGAGGTATAAAAATGCTTTTCACAAAGCAGTTGGGGGAACAGATACATCTAAGCTGTAAACAGATGCTAAAAGATTAGATTTTGAATATACATGTATGCAAATATGATAAGCATCTGACGTTTTGGATGAGATCTTATTCTATAGCAATGAGAAATTCAACATACATGCCCCATGAACTAGGCTACTGCAAAGCCTGAAGTCATTCAGAGTCAAATAATAAGCCTGTGTTTCCATTTCCAACATGTTCTTTGCTTTTTGAGATATAGAATGAATTTCAGAAGTGAAAAACAAAGAAAAAAAACCTTTCTGACTAAGGAACATCAGCCAGCTAAAGAAGCCATTATCTGAAAGTTGCCATTTCCATACCACAGAGAAAACAGCCTATGGGTATGTCTACACTGTAATAAAAGACCCCTGGCATGGGCACAGCTAGCATGGTTAGCTGACTTGAGTTTGCGGGACTTGGGCTGGAGGGGTATAAAATTGCAGTGTAGACATTCAGGCTCAAGCTGGAGAAGGTTGCCATTCAGGCTCAAGCTGGAGCCTGGGCTCCAAGACCACATGAGGAAGGAAGGCCTCTAAGCGTGGGGTCCAGCCCAACCCCAAATGTCTACACTGCAATTTTATAGTCCTATGAGCCCAAGTCAGATGGCCTGAAACTCAGTTCTGTGGATTTTTTAATGATAGTGTAGACATACCCCCTGTTTGCTCTGTCTTCCTCCGCATAGCAAGTGAAGCTTTTAGAAGGCAGTTCTACTCTGAAAGTGACTAAAATGGCATTGTAATGTTTTGCGTTTATTGTCCTTCGGTGATTTCTGGACCAAATATGCTCCCTTTGCAAGTAAAAAGTATTGCTAACTGCCACACCTACAAAGTCCACCCACATTGTGAAAAATTAAGGTGGGTTCTTTCAGGATTATGCATAACTAACAATTAAATATTGAGCAACTAGAGTTCAGTTAGAAGTTCTGATGATGATATGTGAGGCAGAATATAACCCAGTTCTCTCTCCCAGAACTATATTGACTCTGCAGTGCTAACAGAAACAATAAAAAAAAAATCCTTCAGTCAGCAAAGTTAACGGTTGTAACTAAATACATTATGTAAAGAGTTGTCACTTTGGATGGGCTAGCACCAGCAGGAGAGTGAATTTGTGTGGGGGGGTGGAGGGTGAGAAAACCTGGATTTGTGCTGGAAATGGCCCACCTGTTGATCACTTTAGATAAGCTATTACCAGCAGGACAGTGGGGTGGGAGGAGGTATTGTTTCATGATTTCTGTGTGTATATAAAGTCTGCTGCAGTTTCCACGGTAAACATCTGATGAAGTGAGCTGTAGCTCACGAAAGCTCATGCTCAAATAAATTGGTTAGTCTCTAAGGTGCCACAAGTACTCCTTTTCTTTTTGCGAATACAGACTAACACGGCTGTTCCTCTGAAACACATAGGTGTGGAGCTCTTGAGTACGAAGGTGCCAGTTTAACATAACTGCATTAAAGAACCATTCCTGCAGAATCACACTTTATAAAGCAAACTTTATAAAGCATTAAAATGAGCTTCCCCTTAGAGTAACTGAACTGGAAAATGTCCATCCAAATGGAATTTCATATGGCATCTTTGGAAGTATTTCCAGTCTATCCTTAAGAAGGATTTCTTTGGCCAGTGTTGTTGAGAACAATCCAAGAAGGCTCATAAAAAACTGACATCAATCCAGGTTTTGTGTATTGGATTTGAAATTCAAATCCATTAAATTTACAACATCAAGTGTAGAGATACATTTTTTAAAAAAAAGCTCTGCATGACATCGCTGTGATGTATGAATGTTCAGTGAGATGCTGGAGCAGAACCTAGGGAGATGTCTAAAGAACATCAACACAGCAATAAATGGATGCAGATTCCTTCCACCTTTTACAAGGGAGTCTCACTTCTCTCAAGTTTAGAGTTGGAAACCAAAGTGAAAGGGTTTTTACTCTTCTGAGGCACTGGCTGATAGAAGGAGTGAATACAGAAAAGCTGGGGCATCCCTAGCTATGGGTAGCTTGTAGGTCTACGTGACACAATACTGACCATAGCCATGTATATATAATAAACCTATGACAGAACACAGTAATGTGGAGAGATTTAGAATGTATTGGCTATTTTCCAGTATGAATCAGCAATTAACTCCCAAGAGTAATTAACCTTACTGAGGATATTAGGGAAAGATTTAGGACATAAACTGCAACCCCAGGGGAATACTCATAGAGGTAAATTTAATCACCTGTGAAAAGGTTTGATGGATAGGGCTCTAAGAATCTTGGGCAGGAAAAAGTTGCCCTGTAGAGACAACAACACCTTAACTGGAAGGATGGTTTTTAGGGATTCAAGATATTTGTAAAGCATAATCAAGATAGTTTTAAATTAATGAGTTTCAAAGGAAATGAGTGTCTTGGGAACCCACAGCAAATTTTATTAAAGAGCCTTTGAACAAAAGGTTCTTTTCATTTAGTTTCTAATTATCAAGGTCAAAGGTCTGCTCCTCAACCAGTTAGATACGGGCACTGAACAATAATTGTCCCTAACCAGACTTTAATATCAGTATTTCAAGTTTGGAAGTGGGTAGATGTCAAAGAGATTTGTGAATTTGCTAACTTCTGTTGGAGTAGATGGGGATGAGTGGGCACTGCACGCATGCACACACCATAATTGAAAACATAGTGCCTGAACATTCTACTGCACCTCTGTCACTGGGTGTTCTTCCTCCTTTTCCTACACAAAAAGATACAGAAAAGATTTTTAAAAGGGCAGATCTAAGAAAAAATGTCAAAGGTCGTAGAGGGAAAACACAGGTGAGACTAAAACCAATTTAAATTAAAGCAATTATGTGGAATTATGAGCTATATTTTGAAGTATTGTTCCCTTGGGGCTCACTCCCAAAGAACACTTACACTATGGTTCTACTCGGAAAAGTGACTACAAAATTATAATAATAGAGTCTTATATCTTTTGTCACTTAATGACTTCCAGTCAATTCTTCTCAGTTTACAAGCAAAGCACTGCTGTTTTTTCTCCTAATTGTCCACCCTTCAAAATCAAAGTGGAATTTGTTATTGAGTCTGCCTAAAAACCCTAAAAATATACATTACAATTATTTGGATGTGAATGTGTGCATATTTAATTGTTTTTCCTAAAGTTAATTAAGTATTTTAGGGGGAAAGTGTCAGTGCAGACACCAGTGAGAGTTGGTGGCCGCACTTTAAGGCCACCAAAAATTTGTTGTGAGAACCCCTTGCCTTGGCTACTTGGGAGTGGAGCTTTTGAGGCCCAGTATCCTGGAGCAGCTCACAGCAGGGATTGGGTGGGAAGAGCTGTCAGGCCCTACATTTACCACCATTTGTTGCTAGTTCCTGATTCTGCTGCTGTAACTTTTGTTGTGGAGTGGCCTTCCAGAATCTGGGCTCTTCCATATAGGGTGACCAGACAGCAAGTGTGAAAAATCAGGACAGGGGGTGGGAGGTAATAGGAGCCTATATAAGAAAAAGACCCCAAAATCGGGACTGTCCCTATAAAATCGGGACATCTGGTCACCCTACTGCCATACAACTCCTTAACTGAGACAGAGCCACAGCTTATTGTATCATCTGTCATATGTTTCTTGGCATAGATCAAGATATCTTTAACTAGCCAGGATTCCATTCGAATTTTTCTATGACATAATCACCAGCACAATTAAACAGGCTGGATTATACTCTACACCGAGCTTTCCTTTTTAAATTGTATGAAACAAAATAGTGAATAGAGCCAAAATGTCAGTACAAGGTTCAAAACTTTGTGTTAATTTAGACATGAAATATAAAACTATGGCACTGTAACTGTTTTATTTTGGTTTGAATGAGCAGAAGTTGGTCAACATGGTAAACTGAAACTCCAACTGGGACCTGACTAGAGTTCAAAAGATGCAACCATATGGTTGCAAATTACAGTGGGCACTGATGGAAAGGTCACCCTTTCAGAACATGAGACACACTGATGGCTTCTAAATTAACTGTAACCAATCAGGGGAAAACCTGGGCACGGACAGTTCAGTGAAAACCTCTGCTCAACGGCCAGATATGGTCAAAAAAGCAAACCAGAGGAGTTAGGCTGTAGAATAAATAGAGAATAAAACTGAAACTAGTGTAATGCCATTATATACATTGAAGCTACATGCTCACCTTAAAGACTGATGTCTACCTATCTTATGTATTTATATAGTCTCCATGACCATAGTAGCTGAGTATCTGACAATCTTTAACATATTTATCCACACATAGTCCCTGTAAGGTAGGGAAGTGCTATTGTCCTCCCTTTACAGATAGGGAACCATACAGCGTCTAAGTGATTTGTTCAATTTCGTATAGGAAGTCCATGGCAGAGCAGGAAATTTAACCTAGATCTCCTGAATCCTGGGCTGGCACCCTAACTGCTATACCACCCTTCCTTTCTTCAGTTTTGGTTACCCTCCCTTACAAAGAATACAGCAGAAATAAAAATGGTGATCTTCTAGGAGCTAGCAGAAGTTCATGAGTCTAATGGGATCTGGAGTACTGTATGACAGTTTTGGGGGGAGATTTTTTCCTCTATTTTGTGCCACTTGAAGGAACATTTGAACATTGCTGGAGTCTGGTGGGTGAAATATGCTCTATGAGAGAACTCAGAAGAAAAATCAGGTTATGCCATAACCATAAAAAGATCACTTTAAACACATTATTCCCCCCCCATACCCAGCTGTTATACTGGCCAAAAGACACTGTTTTCCACCGGGGACTCAAACCTATCTTGTAAGAAATGAAGACCAGCAAGTTGTTAGTTGTATAGAAATGGCATTGCATTATGTCATTACAAAGCCTCTCATACACAGCTGCTTGATACCTGTTAAGACTTCAACAACTAGTTCCAGCATTCTGTTCCCATTTGAAAACCATTAGACTAGAATGCCAGCCTGAACAGCAAGTAACTCAATACAGCCAAGGGGTGTTCTACAGCCTTACCCAGGGCTTCCCCCGAGGTCTGAGGAAAGAGGTATTAAATGGCCACCATGTGCAAGCTGAAAGTGAGCAAAGCTTGGAACATGAACAGATGCAACTGAAAGATGAAATTCAGCCCTGTGCCGAGAGCTGGCACAAGGACTAGGAACCACCTAAGTCCCAGTAAAGCCCTATTTTGAGGGTTAAAATGAAACTTTAATGGATGCCTAACCCTTATGCATGGAGGTGCATCTGATCCTTAATGATTTAAAATAAGTGAAGAGTGGGAAGAGGCTTTCAGAGAGGGGTACATCCTTTGGGAAAACCCTGCAACCAAAGGAAAAAAGCTTCTGTCTTCATTTTTAAGGTCTGTTGCTGGCAAAGAGGTGAAACGTCTGTGACTCCCATTCAAAGAGGACAGGCTCAGTTCAGCATAGTGTTTCTACTACCTTCTAAGCCACACAAGCTACAGAAGATTCTGGGTACTGACACAGCAGTAGGTCCACCTATTCAGAAGAAAGGTCAGCCTGCAGCAGAAAGACATGCCCCAACCAAACAACTACAGTCATGCAGAGTAGTGGGGGGGTGGGGATGGAAAGGCAGTCATGTGGAAAATCATCTCCCTCTCTCCATACACCAGGGTGAATAAAAATCAATGATATTTTTTAAAAAATCAGATTTTTTTTATTTAACTCAAATTTTTTGATAAAATGCTTTTTGAGGAAAAAACCTATCTAAAGATAGTTTTAATTAAGATACATTATAGCTCAAAGATATCTCATCATGGAATAGGGATTATAACTTCTAATTCTATAGTATGAGACAATATATTCATTTAATGTTTAAGAAAAGTTTTGAAAATGAGTTCCAATAATTCATGGATTAGGGAGCCAATTTTATGGGGTTCCAGGGCTTCTGTATAGATTATTTAGGTTAATCTTTCTATCTACTCAATGGGACTCAGTGCTCAGTCTAGAAGATACCATCAGAGATGCTTAGTTTTGCAGTTCTCAAACTGTGGATTTGTGTCTCCAGAGATAACATGCTTGTTAAGAGCAAAAATGTTTTTAAATAAATAAATCAATACTATATAGAGGTGAGAAATAACAGACCTCAACCCTGTTGTCCCTCTGCAAATTTGTGTACACAGAGTCAATCCCGTACCTCTCTCTAAAAGTGCAAAGTTTCAAAAAGTTCAATGAACAGAAGATTGTCTGGAGATAAATGTAAGAAGGGAGGGACAGGCAGTAGGAACAAAAGTGAAACTGTTTGAGCAGCAGCATATTCCAGAAGTTTTGAGGTCTTTCTGAGTGTAGCCTTCATTGATTTGAGATCTACCATACCATTCTCTCACTAGAAGGGAAAACCTATAATGGCAGCAGGCCATAAAAGAGACCCAGTTTGGGAATAAGAACCATTCAAGAAATATGTTTGCTGATGATGTTTTAAAGAAAGTCACACCAGTGAACTGGTAGAAGTCACTTAAGCACTTGGATTCAGAGACTGTTGAAGTGATAATCTCACTTTTAACAGCAGTAGCTTCTTCTGCCTGTGTAGAAAGAATATTTTCTTCCTTTGGACTAATTCATTCAAAATTGAGAAATTGTTTGGGACCTGAAAAAGCAGGAAAGCTTGTTATTCTTTTCCAGATTATGAACAAACAAGAAAATGAAAGGGAAGACGACTGAGTTAGCTGCAGAAGCCAATATTTTAAGTTTCTCATGTTGACCTGGTTGACATAGTCGATTTAATTTTAGTTTTTTTCTAAAAAAAATATTTCATTTAACTATTTTAGTTTAAAACAATTTTAACAAAAACAAACCTGATTTTAAAAAGCCTGAATGTTTAACTACATTAAAAAATTCAGATGCTTGTTTTGTTAAATTATTATATGTTTGCTGTTGAAGAAAAAAATCCAGAACAATAACGTTGTTAAATAAAACAATTTAAATGTCTGTCTGGTGATGTTCTCCTCCTAATACAGCATGGCAAGAAAATGCTCCAAATATTAATGATTAACCTGTTGAATTGGAGATAGTTCACCTCCCAATGACTTCATAAATATCTGCTTCAATTACCTTTGGTAAATGAAAAAAACCAAACAATCATTCATTTTCTGATATAGCTGTAAAAATAATCTGAAATGTTTTCAAAATAAATCACTTTAAAAATGTATAGTGTGTACCTTCTTAAAATGAAACCTACATCTATCTCTGAGTTGTGAAGAATATGTATTAAGGTTATAACCAGTGATGGGCTGCCAAAATCTTAACAACGGGTTCCCTCCTCACCCCACGAGGGGGTCGTGGCCCACCCCCACCCCCCGGGACTCGTGCCCCATCCAACACCCCCACGTTCCTCGACGCCCCCCTCCAGGATCCCTGCCCCAGCCACCCCCCTCCCCTGTCCTCTGACTGCCCCCAGAACCGGGCAGGAGGGTCTCGTGGGCCACCGTAGTGGGTGCCCACCCCTAAGAGCCAGAGGCACCTGCTGGGGAGCGAGGTGGGGAGTCCCGGCGGTGCTTACCTGGGGCAGCTCCCAGGAAGCATCCAGCAGGTCCCTCTGGCTCCTAGGGGCGGGGGAGCGTAGCTGGGGGGGGCAGGGGGAGCAGCCGCTCCCCCCACTGATCACATCAAAAGTGGTGCCTTAGGCACCGACTCCGTGGGTGCTCCGGGGCTGGAACACCCACGGGGAAAATTTGGTGGGTGCAGAGCACCACCAGCAGCTCCTCGCCCTGCACCCGGCCCCAGCTCACCTCCGCTCCGCCTCCACCTCCTCCCCTGAACGCCCCCCACCCCCCCAGCCTGGCTTCCCGCGAATCAGCTGTTCGGCGGGAAGCCGGGGAGGGCTGAGAAGCAGGCCGCGGCTTCCCACTCAGGCTGAGGGTGGCGGAGGTGAGCTGGGGCAGGGAGCGGTTCCCCTGCGCACCCCCCTGGGTTACCTGCTGCGGCGAGGGCAGCCCTCCTCACAACCCCCTGCCCCAGCTCCCCTCCACCTCCCTGGGCCTGAGCGGGAAGCCACCGCCTGCTTCTCAGCCTGCCCCGGCTTCCCGCGCGAACAGCTGATTCTCAGGAAACCTGCGGGGTGGAGAAGCAGAGCGGGGCGGCGCGTTCAGGGGAGGAGGCGGAGCAGAGGTGAGGTGAGCTGGGGCCGGGGGTGGGGTGGGGAGCTGCCGGTGGCTGCTCTGCACCCACCAAATTTTCCCCGTGGGTGCTCCAGGGCTGGAGCATCCGTGGAGTCGGTGCCTAAGGCGCCACTTTTGGCCGGTTAAATTTAGAAGCCCTTTTAGAACTGGTTGTCCCTCACGGTTCTAAAAGGGCTTCTAAATTTAACAACCGGTTCTAGCGAACCAGTGCGAACTGGCTCCACCTCACCACTGGTTATAACAACCAACAAGAATGCAGTTTTATGTAGAAATCCATGATTAAATCAAGTCTTCCTGACTAGTGATTTAAATCATGATTTAAATCAATTTGATTTAAATTAAATCCACCCTGTCATACACATGGGCAGTCTGTGCCACGCACTCAGGGGAATTGGACCAGACCAGTAACTTAAAACACCTAAACAAGGAGGAAGAGGTTCCCCTCTTCCACAAACATACATAACCATCTCCACCATTCTGGATCTGCAGCATATTCACAGACAGCACTCCCACGGGCTGTTGCTGTACCAGACTCCTGAATAAACCACAAGGATAGCTGTATAGTTCCCAGCACATTTCTATCCACTGGCACCTTTCTGAAGTTAGCAAATTAGAGCAGGACCTGACTGGTATCTTTCACAAATAGTGGCAAAAATCCAGAGTGGCTGGTGACGGGACACTAGACAGGGAGGGTTCTGAATTACTACAGAGAATTCTTTCCTAGGTGTCTGGCTCATGGGTGTTGCCCACATGCATCTAACTGATCACCATATTTGGGGTCAGGAAGGAATTTTCCCTGGGTCAGATTGGCTTAGTCCCTGGGAGGGGGGGTTCATCTTCCTCTGGAGCACGGGGCATGGGTCACTTGCAGGTTTAAACTAGTGTAAATGGTGGGTTCTCTGTAACCTGAAGTCTTTAAACCATGATGTGAGTACTTCATAACTCAGCCAGAGGTTAGGGGTCTATTACAGGAGTGAGTGAGGTTCTGTGACCTGCAATGTGCAAGAGGTCAGACTTAATGATCATGATGGGCCCTTCTGACCTCAAAGCCTGTGAATCAATAAGGTTTGCACCAAGGCAGTGCAGACGCAGTGGTACTGGCAATGCTTGTGCAACATGAGGAGCACTTTTGTATGGGGAAAACAGGGTTTTACAAGCACCTCAGGTGCCTGAACCATTGATGGCAACAACTTTTCTCTCCGGTATAGACAGTGATTGAGCTTCTAGTTTCCGGATTATTCCTCATACTAGTTCTTAGTTCTAGGTGAGCTTAAAAAATGTGCATGTTTATAAGTGGCGGGGGGAAGCTGGTAACTAAAGGACAGCTATTGTTATTCAAGACCCGCATTTACATATGTTTCCCATGCAGGTCTGGTGCAACCACTAGGCGAACTAGGCGGTCGCCTAGGGTGCCAAGTGGTTGGGGGCGGCGGTGGAGCGGAGGTAAGCTGGGGCAGGGGGGCGCGGGGAGGGCCGCCTGCAGCAAGTAAGGGGGGGACAGCGCACAGGGGAACCGCTCCCCGCCCCAGCTCACCTCTGCTCCACCTCCTCCCCTGAGCACCGCCATGCTCTGCTTCTCTCCCTTCCAGGCTTGCGCACCAGACAGCTGATTGGCGCCGCAAGCCTGGGAGGCGGGAGGAGCGGCAGCGTGCTCGGGGAGGAGGCAGAGCAGTGGTGAGCTGGGGCGGGGAGCTGCTGTGGGTGGGGGGCGGCACAAGGTGGAAGTTTCGCCCAGGGAGTGAAACCTCCTTGCACAGGCCCTGTTCCCATGATTTTTGTAAACTTGAAGAAGAATGCACACAAATGCCAGTTGTGGCCAATTTTAAGATCAAAGTATAGCCAGCTCCACCCTGAGAGTTATGCTGAGGAGTTTAAAGATTTATATGGAGACATCTGGATTTAATTAATTTAGCCCAGATGTGGATTAAACTTCCAGAGAAGAAAAGAGAAAATTACCTGTTGCTCTTCTGATGGCAGTTCAATAGAATTAGCGACTGCATCTACATTGTCTTCTGTGTGTGCCTCATTTTCTTCAGTTACTTCAGACTTTTCAGTCTCCTGACAACAAAGGAAAAGCACAGCAGAAAGAACATCAGAGGGGGAAGAAAGACAATAGATGTACAAAACTGATTGCTTAAGTGCTCTCTCAGAAACTCACTGTTCAAAGCCAAATAACCATTATACAGTTGCCAACATTTATTCAGACATTGGGCTATCTGACCTATTTCTTTCCAGGGAAATGTACAAGCAGCTAGTACAGAGTTCATTTTTAGTGCTGATGCAAGTTTACGTGAGCTGTTCAAGATCACACTCATCCATACAGAAACCGTGGTTGCATGAGTGTACTCACTCCCTTTAAGACAAAAGGAGCCTCTTTTTTAAGTATGTGAATAGGCCCTAAGGATTTATTTGTCTGTTCCTTTTTAAAAAAAACAACCTCATCTCTAGCTCTGCTGTTGGGCAAAAGGGCCACAATCCTGTGAATTCAATAGAACTATTCAAATTCTTAAAGTTAAGCATGTTGCTTAAAGGTTTTGTTGGACTGGAACTCAGGGGGAATAGAATATGCTGGATGATTAGAATGGGTGAAAATGGACTTCTGAGGGTGAACAAAATACTCAGTTATTACTTCCACAACTTTGTGCTCTTCACCCGAAATGTCACCGTTTGGAAGGTTTGATGTCTCTTCAGCAGTTTTCACCTCCTGAATCAGGGAAAATGAACAATATGTGAGAACCTGAATGAATCTACAGAACAAAGCTGGAGGAAGAGCAAGCAGGTGCTAAGAAAAAAAATGTTTAAAGATGTCTACCAGCATGACAAATTTTGGCAACTGACTCAGTACCTCTTTATACTGATAGTATTATTATTAAAAGGGCGTTCCAAGAGCCATTTGTTGGTTTAGTGTGCCCTTTACACTTCTGGCTTTTGGCCATGCAAACTAACAAAGGAATTCTAGAATGAAAATGCTAGCCATGCCCCATAAAGGCTCTTAACCTTAAAAAAAGAATTCTAGTATTATGAGAGGTTTTATAAATTTGTTGAAATTCTCTTGCAAAATATTGCATTTATCATTTTGCTTATGTGAATGACAGTTCTCTTTAGAGACACTTTTTTGTAGTGACTCATAAAATTTAAAGACATAGCTCTTATTGAGCATAGACTTTTAAAAAAAAACTGTTATGCCTTTAGATTTCTTATGCCCCTATCCTCACTGGCATTAATGACTTTTTATAAATATTTAAAACATACACAAGAAATGAGGATAAAATGTCCATAAAAATATACCACCATACAAACTATCCCAGGCTAACAGGACACTTACCGAAAATACAAGCTTAAAGGAGTGGTTAGGAGAATTAGACTGTTAGTAATATTTTACCACCAAATATATACACACACCCAGCTTGACTGAGATGTGCATGTCTACTACCAAGGGCAGAATTTAGCTTTGTATGATGTGTGAAAGAAACTGACTCAAAAACGTATGAATGATGAATATAGAGTCATACTGAAATAACACCATTTGGAACCTAGTCATGAAACTACCACTTCAAAGCACCCCAAATAGTTTTTATTAATTTAAAATTAAGCAACATTCCTGCAAACTGATGAGTCTTTTTCTTGTCAATAAAACACATCTATCAGTAGTTCATACAGCTACCTTAAGAGTGCACATTTTCTCTTTTTCAATTTCACATTCAGAGATGCTTTAAAAGGAGAATTCTCCATTTACTAAAGTATATATGGGACTAAACTTCAAAATCAGCATAGCAAATCCAAAAAGGATTTAGGGATGAGTAACACATACAGGTCCAGATTCTCATCTGCCATAAATCAGCATCGCTCCATTGAATTCCTAGAACAGCTGCAGAAAGGAATAGTGTAGCAGGGAGCTATCTGCTTTCTGGAGTTCTGGGAGATGTAAGCTATGCTCCATTTTTGCTAAATAACAGTAGACAAGGATAAACCCATTACTTCCCCACAACAAATAAACCACTGTCAGCATTCAAACCTGGCTAACTACCCTGAAGCCATGATGGTACAATACACTGCTTGCTAACTTAATTTAATTTAAGTCACAGTCTTCTCATGAACAGGATGCCTCTCCTGTAACATCTGAGAAAAAGATCAAGGGATAAGTCATGCTATACATCTGAACACACAGCCATGGTTTTAAATTAGTCTCAAAACAAACATCCCCAGAAACAATCTCTTGACTTCTTTGAAAAATGGGTTCCCTTTACAAAAACAGTAGCTTGGATATGCAAGAAATAGAAATATTTTCAAAACCAGAAGCATACTAGGGGATAAAGCTATAAAAAGCCGTCAGCTAATCTATACCAACTAGAGATTAATCTACCAATTAGGCATTACATTGTAAGTGCTTTTCTGATTGATGGTTCCTTTTTCTTTACTTTATCTCACCTAATTATTTCTTGAGACCCCATCTAGGTTTGGGGGGCCAGAGGGAGGTTGGTTGTTTTTAAGCTTGCTCAGTACCGCAAGATTATCTTTCCATGCACATTAACAAAGACTGATAAAGAATGTTGAAAACAGAAATGCCACTCCCACCTTCTCCAAATTCAGCCAGACTTCTAACATAGCCATTCAGTCTCACATTACGTACAAGTATGAAAGAGGTAGGGGCACCAGGAAGATATCTCTCCAGCCTTACCTCATCACCCTGGTGATACCTAGAGACGAAGGTATGTGAGCCTAAATCACTAGAGTTACAACCTTTATGGGGCATGGCTCAGATTCATATGCCTAAACCCCTCCATCTACACTGGGGGTCTGATCCAAAGCCTGTTGAAGTTAGTGGAAAATCTACCACTGACATGTATGACCTTTGGATCAGGCCCTAAAAGTATAGCCATCCCCTGCATTCAGATCTGAAACGATACGTTCTTTTTCGTTTGGAAGTTAGGATTAAAATAGACCGGGTTTAAGATCAGGTGGTCCTTCAGCGCACATAAATAGATTAAAGAGCTTATAAACACAAAACTCCTTCTCTCCAGAGGAGTATAAAACTGTATTACTCATCCATGTTAAATGATACCATAGGAGATGTAATAACGGTTTTGGAAGGCTAGAGATGTAGCGGCAGATTGAATTAGTCCTGGTATAAATCAATAAGTAATTTGGCTCTTTGCAATGTCCTGTAAATTGAGGGCTAACAACCCCATTGGAAATGATAATATACTCAGCACTTAGAAAAAAACATCAGGTGCTTTGCCCTGACCCTGGAAAGACTTATGCAAATACTTAATGGTAAGCACAAGTGTGATCTCTAGTTGAGTTCAGCCGAGCTCCTTGTGTACTTAAAGGTAAGCACACATTTAAGTGCTTTTCTGGATAAGGGCCTACAAGTGCTGTAAAAACATGTATCAATATTATTATTAATTCTTTGTATTGTAGTAGTACCTGGGGACCCCAATCATGGAGCAGGGTCCCATTGTGCTAGGCGCTGTACAAATCCAGAACAAAAAGATGGTCTCTGCCCCAAGAAGCTTACAATCTAAGTGTAAATGAGAGAAACTGGTGGATACCACAGATAGGCAGGGCTCATCAGACAATACCAGTCAGCATGAAAAGCATCATAGCATACCAGCTTCATGCTAATTGTCCTAAAGCCTCAGTGAGGAGAGATACTGTGAGGGAGAAGCACACTAACTGACTTGTTGGCTTTATAAATTTTCATGTTATGGTTTTAAAAAATTACCTCTGTGTACTAGTAAGTTCCTAAGACAAGAAGAGATTTACTGGGAAATATTGTTTAAAGAATTGCCATTACCACCACTACCCTTCTAAATTCACCATGCATCTCCAAATTCATGCCACTGGCCATCGCTTTCACATTACTCCCATTACACTTCACATGAGGGCTGAATTGACAGTCAGGTGAAAGAAAAGCAGCAGCAGCACAAGGAGGTCATTTATATGACAAGCTATAACCACTCTGGCCTCCAATGAAGATGCTGAGAAATACTCTGCAATAAATGCTAAAAATAGGTGTTTGTCCTGATCTGTAGATCTCTCTCAAATTCAGCTGCAGATTTTAGATGGTGCTAGCTGTAAAGATAGTTCCTTGTTTTAATTTTTTTTTTTTAAATGCTGTAAGGCATTCAGCTCCAGATCTGAAAGGCTAGCACCTTGGTACAGCAGTTAAAGCAGTAGAAACCATTCTTTGCTTGTTACTAATAGCACCAAAAGGTTGTTTTTCCGGCAATAGGTCCTAAGCATATTGTTTTCAACATTTGTGGCGTTGCCACTGACTGGACATTTTAATAGCCTCAGGTGTAAGCTAGGAATAGGTGAACTCTTTAAGGGGAAAAATAAAGTACTTTGCTCCACAGGAAAAAAAAAAACACCTAGCTGAGCAATGCATGAAGGAATGGATGGTGTATGAAGTGAGAAAACAGGAGAAATACAATTTTCTTAATCCTATTGATTCACCACATTTTGATGATGATGATGATGATGATATGTAGCACGTGTAGCTTCTTTAACCCCCTAAACGCTCTATGGACATTCACTAAATTATTTCTCACAAGACTCCTCTGAGATAGACATATAAGTGTTGATATTCCTGGGATAGAAGTGGGAAACTGAAGCAGAAAGTTTAAAGGATTTTCCCGAGGTCACCCAGGGAATCACCAGCAAAGACAAAATTAATAGTAGTAATGCCTTTGTTTTATGTATGTAAATAATGTAACTTTTCGTTTGTAGCTCTCAAAGCTCTTTACAAAGGAGGTAAGTATCATTATCTCCATATTTACAGTCAGGGAAAGAGGTGCAAAAATGCGACGTGAGTCACCAAGCAGAACAAGGACTAGAATCCAGGTCACTTGAGTTCTACTCCAGTGTTTTATCCACTAGGTCATGTTAAAACAAAGGAGTGTATTGCTACCAATCTTGTGCTCAGACTATGTCTCACCCGCCCACTTGACTCATTATATCCACGTCTGCCATGAGAATGATGGCAATATTTAGATCTGATCACATTTGAGTATGATCAAAGATAGAGTTATAAGCCCCCTACATGAACATGACATGTTAGGGACAAGTCAGCACAGCTTCTGTAAAGGAAAAAAATAGCATGCCTCTCTATTATGCTAGAATGCATGTCAACAAAATATAGTGGATAGAGGAGAACTGGTAGAGATAGCCTATATGGACTTTCCAAAAGCCTTTGATAAAGTCCCTCACAAGAGGCTATTAGCAAACGACAGAATTATGATGTGAAAGATAAAGCATTGCCATGTTTTAGAAACATGAGAGAGAAAAAAAGAAGAGGAATAAATGGCCACTTTGCATAACAGAGCAAAGGTTAACAGTAGAGGAGCCTCTGGGACCTGTATTAAGACCAGTACTCTAAGACCTAGGAAAGGGGTGAACAGTGAAGTGGGGAAATTTACAGTGGATACAACATTATTTAAGTTAGACAAAACTGGTGAAGATTGTGAAAAAATTTACAGGGACCCCACAGGAGAAAGGAGGCAAATGATTCATAAAAAACAGTGATGTATATGAATACTGGGAACATCCACAATTACATTGGTTAGGATTAAAAAAAATAGAAGAATATAAACCTTCATGCTTCAGGTCAAAAGATGACCACTAACTGATGAGATTAGGAATAAATTTTCTCTGTGTACAGGTTAATTTCACAATTGTCGGTTGCAAAGTTTCTTGCAGCTTTCTCTGAAGCATAAGATGTCAGAGATGGGATATTGGACTAGATAACCACTGTTCTGGTCAAATTTGGAAATTCCCTTGTTATCTCTATCCCTTCTATAGGTGGAGTCGGTCTATTATAACAAGCATTAATTATGAATCAGTGTTGTGCACAAGTGCCACTTCATCAACACAATCTGCACATTAGTGAGGAGGATGGAATGCCCCCTCCAGCACCATGGAACAGATGTAATTCAACAGACAAGAGGTGATCAGCTATGAAACCGTGTGCAGGGGAAATCAGCACATCCAGCACAACAGAGCTGGAATCTGAGCTTTATGTGGGACAGTGCAGAAGGGTGGCTTGTGGCACACCATGGGACTAGTTAAACAGCCCATGGTTGTAAGGACCCAATATCGACAACTCCCGCCGTCAGATTAAACAGAGTCACAGTCTCCCATTTCCTGATAGGTGATATCTACCCAGATAGGGGAATGGATTCTGTATCCGAGCCCTGCATAGTTCTCCCATACAAAGCCTGTTCACTCAGGGCTCTGTGCAATGGGGTTTGTATGGATTTCACCCATAATTTAATTAGGGATTGCCGTATGGTTTCAAAGTTGAATATGGCAAAATATATGTGCTTTTTTAAAAGTAGCAGAAGAGGTTGTAACAAATTCCTGGTGAAAGAAGACTTTCTATTGGAAAGCCTGCATTGTTGATTTTTTTCTTAAAAGACTTTGCTGCAGTCCTGTGCCAGCAAACTAACTTCTTATTTCAGAGTAACAGCCATGTTAGTCTGTATTCGCAAAAAGAAAAGGAGTACTTGTGGCACCTTAGAGACTAACCAATTTATTTGAGCATAAGCTTTCGTGAGCTACAGCTCACTTCATCGGATGCATACTGTGGAAACTGCAGAAGTTTACAGTATGCTGTGTATATAACTGCATTATATACACAGAGACCATGAAACAATACCTCCTCCCACCCCACTCTCCTGCTGGTAATAGCTTATCTAAAGTGATCACTCTCCTTACAATGTGTATGATAATCAAGTTGGGCCATTGAGTGGTCAGTTTGGATGAGCTATTACCAGCAGGAGAGTGAGTTTGTGTGGGGGGGAGGGGGAGTGAGAAGACCTGGATTTGTGCTGGAAATGGCCCACCTTGATTATCGTGCACATTGTGGGGAGAGTGGTCGCTTTGGATGGGCTGTTACCAGCAGGAGAGTGAATTTGTGTGTGTATGGGGGTGGGGGGGTGAGAAAACCTGGATTTGTGCTGGAAATGGCCCACCTTGATTATCATGCACATTGTAGGGAGCATGGTCACTTTGGATAAGCTATTACCAGCAGGAGAGTGAGTTTGTGTGTATGGTTTTTGGAAAGGGGGGGGGGGTGAGAAAACCTGGATTTGTGCTGGAAATGGCCCAACTTGATTATCATACACATTGAAGGAGAGTGATCACTTTAGATAAGCTATTACCAGCAGGAGAGTGGGGTGGGAGGAGGTATTTTTTCATGCTTTGTGCGTATATAAAAAGATCTTCTACACTTTCCACAGTATGCATCCGATGAAGTGAGCTGTAGCTCACAAAAGCTTATGCTCAAATAAATTGGTTAGTCTCTAAGGTGCCACAAGTACTCCTTTTCTTTTAACTTCTTATTGCAGCACTTGTCACTGTCCATTATTTTACATGCTGAATCAGGGCCTACCTCCATCTTTTACTAAATTAAAATGAATGGACCTCAGCAAAGAACAGAAATTCATACCTTTGAACCCGGAGGAGGTGCCAGACCCAGGAATGAATAAATAATGTTTTCTTCCTTGGCACAGAAGAAGGATTCAAAGTCCTAGAAAAGGAATTAAACAAAGAACAAGAAATTGGTAAGAAGCATATGCAAAAGAGAACAGAACCTACAAATCCTTCCATACATTGCCCCAAATCACTACTCTTATGACTAAGGATTTTCAGAATCTGAGACATAGAAAGAAGCATATTTAGAGCAATGTGTTTAATGCCACTTGGCAAAACGAATACACTTCTGCATCTTTGTAAGGACTAGGCAGAATCTGGCCTTAAGTTAGGTACAACAGAGCAATGGATGAGAAACAAAGTAAGGGGGAAGGAAGGACAAGGGTTACAACAGTGATGGATCATAAGATGTGCTTGATATTAAATACACACACCCTGTTAGTTCCTCTTTGGATAAAGTTGTTAGACTGTAAGTGTCCCAATAATTTACATGTACGTACATGGTATCTCCAATGGATAACCAGACCTAGGATCACACCAAAACCAAACCACTGGCATCATTTAAAAACAGCACCCAAGACAGATAGTAATAAACACAGCAATTTCAATGTGTTCCTGGTATCTAATAATACTCTATACGTAAGTAACCTTATAAGTGGATACTCTACCATACCCATGGTAGAGTTACCTCTACATTTTGGTAAATTAAGGACAACTGTATGAAAAATGTAGTCAAACTTATTTTTAAACAAACAATACCCCATAAGGTTTTATCTGTGATATAAACTCATACATTTTTATCACACTATATACAATCCTTTGCATAATTACTGCTGAAACACAAGACAAAAATGCATCATATATTATTGAGTATCAGCTATGCCAGACATTAGGTACAAAAATAAGGGATTTACCTCAAAATATGGGACACTCCTTAAAAATAAGGAGCAAGTGATCAATCTACTCTAGAGATCCAGATCACATAATGAACAGGATGTTTTTTTTTCAATTTCTTCCTTAGAAGTTTTCTTTGTCACAGAATCATAGAATCTCAGGGTTGGAAGGGACCTCAGGAGGTTGTCTAGTACAACCCCCTGCTCAAAGCAGGGCCAATCCCCAATTTTTTCCCCAGATCCCTAAATGGCCCCCTCAAGGATTGAACTCACAATGCTGGGTTTAACAGGCCAACGCTCAAATCACTGAACTATCCCTCCCCCCCCCCCGCCACAGGTAAAAGCAAATGCAGGAAAACAACACAAAGTGCTCAGTGTATTTAGCCCTGGTCCACACTAGGACTTTAGGTCGAATTTAGCAGCGTTAAATCGATGTAAACCTGCACCTGTCCACACGATGAAGCCCTTTATTTCGACTTAAAGGGCTCTTAAAATCGATTTCCTTACTCCACCCCTGACAAGTGGATTAGCGCTTAAATTGGCCTTGCCGGGTCGAATTTGGGGTACTGTGGACACAATTCAACGGTATTGGCCTCCGGGAGCTATCCCAGAGTGCTCCGTTGTGACTGCTCTGGACAGCACTTTCAACTCAGATGCACGATTGTTTGCCGTTGCTCTGACGGAGGGAGGGGTGACTGATGACACGGCTTACAGGGTTGGCTTAACAGGAAGCTAAAATCAACAAAGGGGGTGGGGCTTTACATCAAGGAGTATTTCAGGCAGGACTTCACGGAGGGTTCCAATAAGAAATGGTGCACCTAAGTTATTGTTCTTATTGGAACAAGGAGATTAGTCTGGCCTCTGATTGATACATGGCTAGATTTACCTCGCTGCACCTTCTCTGTGAGTGACTGCAGTGTGACCTAGAGGAATGAGTCCCCTAGAAGGGGGGCGGGGGGAGGTTTGCAAATGAGTACAAAACAAATCTGGTCTATTTCTTGTTTTGATACACTCCATCTATCTTTTACATCTTTGGCTGGCAGCAGACGGTGCAGAAGGACTGCGTGCCATCCACATCTCATGGCTGCTCGGCAGAAGATGGTACAATAGGACTGCTAGCCATCCTCATCTCTTGCCTGTGCGGCAGAAGATGATGCAATAGGACTGCTAGCAATCCGTATCACCTGCCTGTTCACCATAAGATGGTTCAATAGGACTGACTGCAGGACTAAAGAGAATGACTTGATCAAGTCACTCCAAATTTAGTCCCTGCGCCCATGTCTGCCCAGGCGCTCCTGATCGACCTCACACAGGCGACCAGGAGCACCTCGGACATGACGATGACGGCTACCAGTCCTATTCCACCGTCTGCTGCCACAATGCAATTGGTTGCTGCTGCTGTGTAGCAATGCAGTACCGCGTCTGCCAGCACACAGGAGACATACTGTGACGGTTACCTGAACGGGCTCCATGCTTGCCGTGGTATGGCGTCTGCACAGGTAACTCAGAAAAAAAGACGCGAAACGATTGTCTGCCCTTGCTTTCACGGAGGGAGGGAGGGAACGGGGGCCTGACGCTATATACCCAGAACCACCCGCGACACAGTTTTAGCCCCATCAGGCATTGGGATCTCAACCCAGAATTCCAATGGGCAGCGGAGACTGTGGGAACTGTGGGATAGCTACCCACAGTGCAACGCTCCGGAAGTTGACTCTAGCCTCGGTACTGTGGAAGCACTCCGCCGAGTTAATGCACTTAATGCACTTAGAGCATTTTCTGTGGGGACACACACACTCGAATATATAAAACCGATTTCTAAAAAAACGACTTCTAAAAATTCGACCTAATTTCGTAGTGTAGACATACCCTTAGAAAGTGATGAAGACCTCTGTGTAGACACCAACAGAAGAAGCAGCTTAAGTAAGAGATTAAGTAAAGAATATAATTGTCAACGTAGATGGTTTATAATGAATACTAAAAACTAATTTCAAGACTCATTTGACTTAGCTTTTAAAAATGGTTATCGTAACTGCCTTTTTTAAAAAAATAACACTGCACAGCACTCTGAGATGCTTTCACAAAGGATGTTGTATAAATATAAATTTGTAGTAACATGCAAATTCTTTTTTCCCAATATAGCTTCACACACAGAGTCAAATACTGCACATTTATAATTTACAGGTGCTGCAGCTGGTCTGCCTAGCTTTATAAGGCAGTTGCTATTTAATGGTATACAGTCACTATGTAACTTATCTTTATGGATCTCAAAAATCTTTATCGTGACACAAGTTGGGCAAAAGGTACAGACTCAGACTCATAGACTTTAAAGTCAGAAGGGACCATTATGATCGTCTAGTCTGATCTCTTGCACAACGCAGGCCACAGAATCTCACCCACCGACTCCTGTAACAAACCCCTGACCTATGTCTGAACTACTGAAGTCCTCAACTTGTGGTTTAAAGACTTCAAGGTGCAGAGAATCCTCCAGCAAGTGACCCGTGCCCCACGCTGTAGAGGAAGGCAAAAAAAAAAAACCCAGGGCCTCTGCCAATCTGCCCTGGAGGAAAATTCCTTCCTGACCCCAAATATGGTGATCAGTTGGACCCTGAGTATGTGGGCAAGACTGACGAGCCAGACACCCAGAAAAGAATTCTCTGTAGTAACTCAGATACCACCGTATCTAGCATCCCATCACAGGCCATTGGGCATATTTACCGCTAATAGTCAAAGATCAGTTAATTGCCAAAATTAGGCTATCCCATCATACCATCCCCTCCATAAATTTATCACATTTAGTCTTGAAGCCAGATATGTCTTTTGCCTCCACTGCTCCCTTTGGAAGACTATTCCAGAACTTCACTCCTCTGATGGTTAGAAACCTTCGTCTAATTTCAAGTCTAAACTTCCCGATGGCCAGTTTATATCCATTTGTTCTTGTGTCCACATTGGTACTGAGCTTAAATAATTCCTCTCCCTCCCTGGTATTTATCCCTTTGATATATTTATGGAGAACAATCATATCTCCCCTCAGCCTTCTTTTGGTTCGGCTAACAAGCCAAGCTCTTTGAGTCTCCTTTCATAAGGCAGGTTTTCCATTCCTCAGATCATCCTAGTAGCCCTTCTCTGTACCTTCTCTTAAACATGGGAGACCAGAACTGCACACAATATTCCAGATGAGGTCTCACCAGTGCCTTGTATAACGGTACTAACACCTCCTTATCTCTACTGGAAATACCTCGCCTGATGCATCCCAAGACCGCATTAGCTTTTTTCACAGCCATATCACATTGGCGGCTCATAGTCATCCTGTGATCAACCAATACTCCGAGGTCCTTCTCCTCCTCTGTTACTTCCAAGTGATGTGTCCCCAGTTTATAACAAAAATACTTGTTATTAATCCCTAAATGCATGACCTTGCACTTTTCACTATTAAATTTCATCCTATTACTATTACTCCAGTTTACAAGGTCATTCAGATCTTCCTGTATGATATCCCGGTCCTGCTCTGTATTGGCAATACCTCCCAGCTTCGTGTCATCCACAAACTTTGTTAGCACATTCCCCCTTTTTGTGCCAAGGTCAGTAATAAAAAGATTAAATAAGACTGGTCCCAAAACTGATCCCTGAGGAACTCCACTAGTAACCTCCTTCCAGCCTGACAGTTCACCTTTCAGTATGACCCATTGCAGCCTCCGCTTTAACCAGTTCCTTATCCATCTTTCAATTTTCATATTGATCTCCATCTTTGCCAATTTAGCTAATAATTCCCCATGTGGAACCGTATCAAATGCCTTACTGAAATCAAGGTAAATTAGATACCCTGCATTTGCCTATGTTAAGATAAATAGGGTCTGTTATCTGTCCCCCTGCCCTTAATATTTATATAAGAAAAGTAAGCACTTCATGATTTGAATTTACATTCAAGCTCAAAATGGCAAACTAACTGTACCAGGTACCTCCTTTGACCCTTACTCATAAAAAACAGTTACTAACCTTCCATAACTATTGTTCTTCAAGATGTGTTGCTTATGTCCATACCATGTTAGGTGTGTGTGCTTGCCACATGCACCAGTGCCGTAAGTTTTTCCCTCAGTGGTATCCATAGGGGACTGGCTCTGGCATCCTCTGGAGTGGCGTGCATATACACCAGTATAAGGGGCACCGCCGGCCCCACCCTCCCTCAGTTCCTTCTTGCCGGAACTCT